AAGTTGCCGGGGCGGAGGGGGCACACGGCTGCTGGAGGACAGCGGGGACGGTGTAGCGAGGGCGGGGGCTTCGGTGGGGACGGGGGACAGAGGCGGTGGCATGCTGAGGGGAGGGGGGCGGGGGAGGGGGGAGCTGGAGGACGGTGGCGGCGGCGGTGGCCCGTTGAAAAAGGCGGGGAGGAGTGGCTGTGACGCGACAAATAAAGTGTGATCGGGGCGGAGGGGGCACTGGGCTGCTGGAGGACAGCGGGTGCAGCGGGCGGTGGCCGGGTGCCTGTGGGGGAGGTGCGTGGGCTGCGATTCGACAAATAAAATGGTCGGGGCGGGGGGGGCACTGGGGCGGGGAGGGGGTGGGGAGTGGGGCTGCGATGCGAAAGGTATAGTAGTCGGAGCGAGGGGGGCACTGGGTTTCTGGAGGACAATGGGGAAGGGGGGGTGGGAGCGGGGGGCGGGAGCGGTGGCCTGGCTGGGGGGTGGGCGGCGGGGGAAGGGGCGGAAAGTGGGGGGATGGGGGATTGGGCCGGGGGCCGCGACGCGAAAAATGAAACTGTCGGGGCGGAGGGGGCTTTGCGTTGCTGGAGGACAGTGGGGAGGGTGGTGGGGGCGGGGACTTCAGTGGGGGCAGGGAATGGGGGCGGTGGCGTGCTGACTGAGGGGAGGGAGGTGGCGATGGGGCTCGGGGGCGGCGGCGGCGGCGGTGGCCCGCCCGGAGTGTGTGTGTGTGTGTGTGTGTCAGTGTCTGTGTCTGTGTGTCTGTGTGTCTGTGTCTGTGTGTGATTGCGACGTGAAAATTCCAGTCGGGGCGGAGGGGGCACTGGACTGCTGGAGGACAGCGGGGACAGAGGGCGGTGGTTGGGGGCCCGCAGGGGAGGCGGGTGGGCCGCGACGCGAAACATAAAGCGGATGGGGCGAAGGGGCACCGGGCTGCGGGAGGACAGCGGGCGGTGGCGGAGGGGCCTGTGGAGGAGTGCGGGGGGCGTGCGGGGTGGGTGGGTGGGCTGCGGCGCGAACAATAAAATGGTCGGGGTGGAGGGGACACAGGTCTGCTCGTGGTCGCGCTCTCGCGGTGATTTTCGTGACGATGTGCTTGGGGATCGCACCATCGCTTGAGATTTCTTGCGATCCATGCAGGACGCAGTCTTCAGCAACCCGCCTGCCCCTTGTCCCTTCCATCCGTCCGCCCTTCTCCTGCCTTAGGGGCTGTACGACATATAGGTTGCAGGTCACAAAGATGTACTCCTACGGTGGTACGATCGCAGAAGAAGAGGGCGGGTATCGAGGGTTTGGGATATACGTGTTGCATGGTACGCGAGCAGATAATAACGCATAGTCGTGAACGGGTTGTTGAGTTCTCATTCCGGAAGAAAAATTATTGTTGATCCCTCCACCAGTGCATACTGTTTTTTCTCAATCAAAGTGTGCCCTTCGACGGTCGCACCTTGTTTTTTGACAGGGAAAGTCTTCCTGCTCAAACTGGGCCCCTGGCCCCCGGGTTACAACAACAACGGCTCCCGCTTTAGACTTCCTTACAATTTAGCCAGGACCCCCGCTCCCGCCCGAGACTTCCTCGCATTTTATTCAGGAATCGCGCCCTCGCTTGGGACTTCCTTACAATTTATTCAGGAATCGCTCTCCCGGCGCTCTGGAGTCGCGCTTTGTCTGGAGATTTGCTTGCAACTTACTGAAGAATGACCTTGCGTTGGAATTTCCTGCAATTTGCCCAAGCGCCGCGCTCCCGACGCCCAGGCAACCAGGAGTCGCGCCCGTTGTGGCCCCATGTGCATGCCCTTCGTGGCCCCGCTGTCGCCATTTGTATCCCCCTCACTGTCCTACGTGGCCCAGTTGCTACCCTCAGTGGCCCCATAGTTGCCTTCTGTGGCCCCGCATTATCTGCACTTCGTGGCCCCCATTCGTTCGCGCTCTTCGTGGCCCCATACGCATTCCCTTCGTGTCCCCGCTGTCGCTCTTCGTGTCCTACTTCGTGCCCTTCGTGGCCCTGCTGTCGTTCTCTCTCGCTCTCGCTTTCGCTCGTCGTCGCCGTCGTCGTCGTCGCCGTCGTCTTCGACGTCGTCGTCGTCGTCGTCGTCGTCGTCGTCGTGGTCGGTCCCCTGTCCGTCCCTCTTGGGGTCGGGTCGACGGTCCGCGGCCGCCCCGCCGATCAGCGCTGCCGCTGGCCAGGCCGACGGTCCGCGGCCGCCCCGCCGCTTGCCGGGGCCCGGCCTGCAGGGAAGAAAGGTATACCCCCCAAAAGGGGTTATAGCGAAGACGAAGAGGGCGGGTATCGAGGGTTTGGGAAATACGCGTTATTGGACACTCGAGCATATAAGGGCGAATAGTCTTAAAATTATTAGTCTTATTGTTATCATTACTCTTCTTCTTCTTCTTCTTCTTCTTCTTCTTATTCTTATTATTATTATTTATTTATTTATTTATTTATTTATTATTATTACTACTTATTATTATTATTCTCCGGATTTTTATTAGCATTGTTGTTGTTATTGTTGTTGTTTTTCCATTTCGATCGGTGTTGATCCCCCGTCAGGTGAATTTCGTTTTTCAATTGAAGCACCCCTCCCGGGGCTCGCACCCTGTCTTTTTTTTTAGGGAAAAAAGGCCATCAAACTGTGTTGTTGGTCCCCGAACTATGCTCAACGGCTTTCGCTGGATATTTCCTCACAATTGATTCCCACATCGCGCTCTCGCGCGGGCCTTCCTCACACGTCATGCAGGAAACGCGCTGTCGCGTTGGACTTCCTCTCAATGTATTCAGACACTTCGCCTTCGAAACTCAGGAATCGCTTTGGCATTTCCTACGATTTACTCGGGAATCGCGTTATCGCTCGAGACTTTTTCGCGCTTCGCGCTTAAGCAACACGCCTGCTCGACGCTCGACCTGGCCGCTTGGGCCTGCCTTCCCGACACGCCCGCTAGGGTCTGCCCGCCCGATCAGCCTGTCTGGTTCTGCCACGTGTTTTCTGCTTTTAGCACCCCTCCGGCTTATTTCTGTCGTGCTCCAATCTTCCCCACCCCCCGTCCATCCGTCTTCTTCTCCCCTGTTTTAGGGGCTGCGCTAGATGCGCGTGGCAGATACGGAAGCTATCCCCCGAGGGGGTACGATCGAAGACGACGAGGGCGGGTACCGCGGGTTTGGGATACACGTTGAAATGCACGCGAGCAGGTCAGAGCAAACATTCTTAAACTTATTGTTGTTGTTGTTGTTGTTGTTGTTGTTCTTGTTCTTGTTGTTGTTGTGTTTGTTGGTTTTATTGTCGTTGTCGTCGTCGTCGTCGTTGTTGTCGTTGTTGTTGTTGTTGTTGTTGTTGCTGTTGTTGTTGTTGTTGTTGTTGTTGCTTTTGTGGTTTGTTGTTGTCGTCGTCGTCGCCGTTGTCGTTGTCGTTGTTGTTGTGGTGGTAGTGGTTGTTGTTGCTGTTGTTGTTGATGCGGCTGTTGCTGCTGCTGTTGCTATTGCTGTTGCTGTTGCCGTTTCAGTCCCTGCTGTTGTTGTTGTTGTCGTTGTTGTTGTTGCTGCGATGGTTATTGTTGATGCTGATGTTGTTGTTGTGGTTATTGTTGTTGCTTTGCTGTTGCTGTTGCTGTTGCTGCTGTTGCTGTTGCTGTTGCTGCCGCTGCTGCTGCTGTTGTTGTTGTTGTTGTTGTGGTTGTTGCTGAATCTTTTTTATTCGCAAGCAATTATTATTGTTGGACCTCCTGAGTTCGCCCTGGCGCTCTCGCATCGGCGCCAGCTGCATTTCCTTTGAAATCGAGGCTCACGCTCAGGCGTTTCGGGGTGCGCCGAAACCAGCCCCCCAGCAACAATAACGCTCGCTCCCGCTCGACATTTCCCGCACTTTCCTACTCGGGACCCTGGCTCTTGCTCGCCGCCGAAAGCCGTCCTTCCGACAACACCTGCGTTCCCGACCGATACGTCTCTGTTCGTTACTCAGGGCCCGCGCACCCGCCTCGGCGCCGCAGACGGCCCCCAATGCAAACAACGACGCTCCCGCTCCGCTTTTACTCAAGGCTCCTAGAGGCCCTGAGGCTTCGCTAGTCCCTCGTCCATGTTGGATTTTCAAATATTAGAGAATCATTGTTGTGGGACACCCTACATTTGCGCTGGCGCTCTCGCTTCGGCGCCAGTTGCGTTTCCTTTGAAAGTTCAGCTCAAGCTCAGGCGTTTCGGGGTGCGCCGAAACCGGCCCCCCATCAACAATAACGCTCGCTCCCGCTCGATGTTTCCGCACTTTTCTGCTCGGGACCGTGGCTCTTGCTCGCCGCCGAAAGCCGGCCTTCCGACAACACCTCGGTTCCCGACCGATACGTCTCTGTTCGTTACTCAGGACCGGCGCTCCCGCGTCGGCGCCGCAGACGGCCCCCAATGCAAACAACGACTCTTCCGCTCGATACTTCCTCCGCCTGTGCTTAAGACTCCCAGAGGCTTTGGGGCTTCCGTAGTCCCTAGTGCTGATCCTTCAGAATGCAGCATGCACTGTCGAAGGCCTGCGCGTGGGTGCGCGCGTGCACCGAGGACGCTGCGTTGGTGCGCCAGATCGCCGAGTGTGGTGCTGTCCGAGATCGAGAACCGGGGGAGGCAGAAGTTGGCGGCGCCCGTACTGGGGTGGCGCGAGGGGGGTGGGGCCTTCTAGGAAGGCGGCGGGGCTCCTAAGAGGGCAGGGTGGCATCTTAGAAGCCCGCCCGGCTTCCCAGACGCCTTCGCAGAGGCCTCCGGCGCCTTCTAAATGATTAGGCCCCCGCCTTCTCAGAACCCCCTCGGTCTTGTCAGTAAGCCGCTCCCCTCGCGCCTCCCCCGCGTGGGCGCCGCCGAAGGACGGGGTGAACAGCCCGGGGGCGGGCACCACGCGTACTCGCCCCAGAGCCCTCCTCACCAGTCCCCCCGATCTCTCCCCCCTCTGTGCTGCTTGTGCCCTGCTCCCTCCCCCCTTCCCCCCTCCTCCCTCCCCCTGGCCCTCCCTGCCTCTCTCCCCTGGCGCCCGTCGCTCCAGGTCCCGGCGACGAAGGGGGGCTCGCAGCAGATTTTTGGCGGCGCCGCGGCCGCCGCTCCCTTGGGCGGGGGCTGAGGGCGGAGGCAAGGGGAGGGATGAAGGAAGAGCGGGGGCGAGGGAAGAGGGGGAGGAGGGAGGGACGGAGGAAGCGGGAGGGAGAAGGAGGGGGAGGGAGGGAGAAAGGGGGAGGGGGAGGGGGAGGGGGAGGGG